TAAATGTGTTGTATGATGAAGGACTGACGGTGGCGGCGGTGAAGGATGGAGGTGAATGGCACCTGGAGGCCGGAGCTCTGGTTCTGTCTGATGGGGGTTTGTGCTGCATCGATGAATTTAACAGCATCAAGGAACACGATCGTATCAGCATCCATGAAGCCATGGAGCAGCAGTCCATCAGCGTGGCCAAAGCCGGGTACGACCAGAACACATCCAGAAACTCTGCTTAACAGCACCGAGGATCCCCAGCTCCATACGCAGATATAAAACTAAACTGATTAAAGTTTTAACCATCAAACTCTTTGGTAAAAACTCCTCATGATGTTCTGACAGACAGAATCATCTGTCCGGTCCAGCAGGGTCTGGACCTCCTGCAGGCTCGTCAGCTAGAGTTCTGGTGTTTCTCTGGTCTCCTAAAGCTCTGTTTGCTCCTCAGGATGGTCTGTAAGCTCAACACTCGGACCACCATCCTGGCAGCCACCAACCCTAAAGGCCGCTACGACCCCAGCGAGCCGCTGTCTGTGAACGTGGCCCTGGCCAGTCCTCTGCTGAGCCGCTTTGACCTGGTTCTGGTTCTGCTGGACACCAGGAACCCAGAGTGGGATTGCATCATCTCCTCCTTTATTCTGGAGGACAGAGGTGACAAACAGCACAGTTTCAGACACGTTCACATGCACTGACCTGTCCAGGTGAACAATCCTTGTTACTGGATGTAGCTGCACTTAGTTCATCACTGATGCTGCTGCTGCAGGATTGACCATCTGAATAATTACCAATTTAGAATAATAATAATTCACTGAGTTTGAACTGCCTCTGTGGTTTTATAAACTCTTCTTCCTGCTGTGTCAGTTTGAAGTTGGACTCAAAAATACATCACAAAATAAATCACAGTATCAGACAGAAAAGTCATAGAACCGTGTTTTCTCCAAATCACTCTGGCCTGCATTCAAATACCTGCATTAGAACAGCCAATAGGAACAAGCAGTTGCTCTGACAAGTCCTGTGATTGGCTGAAGTCTCTTGAACTAAAGAGCTGCACAGTTTTATGAGTCTCTGGAATCTGCACTGAGACACCAATTTTTAAAAAAATCTTTAAATAATTTTGTTGTGATTTGATCACAATCAATAGTTTCTAAAGTGTGAAGTTCAGACAGCATCAGTTCATCACTGAACACATCAGAAATAATCATTCAGCTGCATTTTATTCGTATCGTCCAGTTGCCCACATGTCATCTCACAGCGTTAACACGTCGATGAAGAGTTTACACATGTGACTGATGCACTGATGGGAGACAGTGACTAGCTCTGATAGAGACTGCTGCTGTTCTGCCCTCCAGTCCGAATATCAACCACAATATTAAGAACAATAATGATGCTGACGATGCTCCTCAGGCCTGCCCGCTGACTCCTCCGCTCTCTGGTCCATGGAGAAGATGAAGGTCTACTTCAGTGTGATCAAACAGCTGCAGCCACAAGTTTCCGATGAGGCCAACTGCATCCTAACACGTTACTACCAGCTGCAGCGGCAGAGCGACGGACGCAACGCTGCACGAACAACCATCCGCATGCTGGAGAGTCTGAGCAGACTGGCTGAAGGTGACGCATGCTTCCACAGATTTAAAGATGTTTATTGTAAACTCAGGTTCATAGAAAATGTATTTACATCCACAGAGCTGAACTCAGGTCTCATTGAACATGTTGCAGACTCAGGCTGCAGGCGCCCAGCAGGGGGCGCTCACCTCACACACAGCAGCAGAAACTAACTGTAATGACTAAGAACCAGTGGAACCGTCAGCTCTGGTTCTTCTGCAGCATCAGCAGGTGGATGTTCAACAAGTCGTCACACAGTTATCACATTCAGTTGTTGTCTGCATCAGGCAGAGACGCTGCAGTTGATAATCAGCCTGTAAAATGTGAACACGACCAACAGGAATGAGCAGCAGCACATCGGGCAGCCCGACCCGAACCCGCTACCTGAGTTTACCTGCTTCAGAGGAGGTTCACCTACACTTGTGAAGCAGCAGAGCTTTGACTTGTTTGTTGGCTTTCAGCTCATTGCAGACTCATGTTCAGAGAGACGGTGAGCATCGAGGACGCTGTGGTCGCCGTGTCTGTCATGGAGTGCTCCATGCAGGTACGAGCACACCTCTCACCTGGACACCGGCTTCCTACACATTCAGAATCTGTTTATTTAAACGTGACAGTAGGCATGAACACACATCAGTCTGGACTTCAGTCGGAATGAAACACAGACATAAACTATGAAATGATAACTGTTGATGCAGTAACGCTGGCTTTACTTCCTGGAGCTTCCAGGTTCATTCTGATGGACCCTGTTGGTGCTTGAACCTAATTATAAGATAATAATATAATGAGAATGTGCAGCTTCACTGCTGGACCTTTCAGTAGAATTTAATGTGTGTCAGGATGACAAGAGAAGGTTCCAGTTTTTACATGTTTGGGTGAAATGGTGCCGTACATTAATGTTGTTTCACAATCTGAGACTGTGGATCAACATGTGTCCTGGATTCTGTCTGACTGAGCAGGAAAGCAGTGACTTGGTGCTTTAGTGTGATGAAGATCAGAAAACACTCTACCTGCCCAGGTGTTTGCAGTCTGGACTAAACTTACAGCTGTTTGTGGGGATATTTCCAGACATGCTGGACGTTGGTGACCATATTCTGTGTAATTATATTTCTGGTTCTACTAGAACATGCTTACCTGCATGTTCAGGAACACACTATTTCCTCAGACCACAGAATATGGACTCTGGTTCCTCTCAGCTGAGGTTCTGTTGGACCCTAACCTCTGGGCACTTTCCTCCTCCAGGGCGGCGCTCTGCTGGGAAATGTGAATACGTTGCTGACCTCATTCCCGGCCGACCCGGAGCTGCAGTACCAGACTCAGTGTCAGGTTCTGCTGGAGGGACTGAACCTGCCGCTTCTGCTGCAGAAGGAGATGGACCGACTGGACAGGTGAGCCTCAGGTGTGCTGCTGCTGGTTTCTGTCTTTCTGTCTAAAGTGGGAAATTATGCAAAAAAAAAAAATAAGAATGTGAGACTAAAATACTTTTTCGAGGCTCTTTGTGTGTCTATTTTTTTATATATATAATTTTTTGTTTGTTTGCATCTCTGTGGTTGTTTTGTGTATCTTTGCTCTCATTTTGCACCGACTGGTTCTTAGTGTATCTGACAGCTGGTTTTATTTCAGTTTCCACTGGATCAGAACCTGTTTGTTTTGTGTCTGCTGCTGGTTCGTGGGTCTGTTTTAAGTCTCTGTGTGTTTATGCAGATCACAAACCTTCTGTTTCCTTTTCTTAACACTTCAGATTGTGAATCTAGTTTCCGTACAGCTGCCTCTGAGCTCAGATCAGCTTTACTTTCTGTGTTCATCAGGCTGAAGACCAGCAGCTCAGATGGATCCCAGTTCGACCCTCTGACTGGAAACCAGCAGCGTCCAGTCAACATCATCACACCGGAGAGGCAGAACATGAGCCTCATCACTGCAGACCACATCATTACATCCACTCAGGAGAACCCACAGACGGACACATCTGTGGAGAACCAACAGAACCTTCTGACAAACAAAGCTTCAGGTTCTGTAAAAACTGTCGCCTCAGTGACAGAAAACACAAAATCTCAGAGACAGAACGATGAAAGTCCTCCAGAGTCGCTGCCGTCTGTGTTGCAGAAGGTTTCTGAGGATGTGACATTCAGGCAGCAGCTGAGCCATCGTCATCATGCACAGGGGGCGGGGCCTGTACATGGGGCGGAGTCTGTACATGGGGCGGGGCCTGCACAGGGGGCGGGGTCTGCACAGGGGGAAGGTAGAACTGCTGCCTCTAAACTCTGCTCCCCAAAGGTCCTCGATCAGAACAAACTGTCCACTGGTCCAGAGAGTCAATGTGAGCAGGAAGATGGCAGCGACCCGATGAAGAGCTTCAGAGCGGTGCTGAAGAACCAGACGGCAGCTGAAGGACCAGCTGACCTGCAGGCGAAGCTGTCGGGCTTCAGGTTCAGACCAACCAAGATGAGACCTTCAGTCACTCTAAGACCAGAGATTCAAACAAACTCCCAGAACCCAGTTAGTCCTTATGATTCAGCCACACAGCACCAACAGAACCAGGTCCAGCGTGTTGTCGAGGTCAGACCGAGCAGAGAGCAGAGTGAAGCCAGAACCGGTTCTACATCAACACAACTGGACCCGTTCGTGGCACAAAGAAGAAACAACACAGCAGCTGTGAGTCCACAGAGAAGCAGAACAAACACGAATAAAGAGACCAAAACGTTCACAGCTTTAAAACCAAACTCTGATGGTCCGCTCAGATCCAGTCTGGGCAGCAGAACCGTGGCCTCGTCCACTCGGGCTAAACTGTCCAGGTTCTCCTTCACCTGTGCAGGTGAATCCACGACCGGCACTGAAGAAGAAGAAGAAGAAAGAGGCGACGCTGGACGTTTAAGGTCAAAGGCAAAGAGAGCACTGAGTTCCCCCAACAGCAGCCCGTCTGGAAAGAGGACCAGAACCCAGCAGGTTCTACCCCCCTCAACCGCAGGACAAAACAACCAAGAACCTCAGACTGACGTCGAGTCCAGAACAAAGCAGCCAGAGCTCCGACAGACCGAGCAGCACCGAACCAGACAGAGTGATGGTCAGGCTCCCTGTATGCAGAGCCAAAGGGCTTTCAGACTGGACCCTCCAGCAGGTTCTGAAGGTTCTGCAGCTCTGTTCACAGGACTGACTCTGTTTGGATCTGCTGAGCTCACTAATGATGTTCTGGACACCGACTGGGACCAAGAGGTTCTGAAGAAAAGCTGAAACCATCAGCTGCGAGTGTCGATAAAGAACTTTATCTCTGAAGAGCAGAACTGCACCAATTATTAAAGTGATCAGCTGATAATCAATAATCTGTCTGAGTGTTCTGAATGAAAACAGCAAATTCTGGTTTCTGGTTCCTTAGTTCTGTGACAGAACCAGACGTGTAGAGATGTGTACGTTCTCTGGTTGTTTTACAAAAACATAATCTGCAGGTTATGAAACTGATGAACGGTTTAAAAGTTCAGCAGAAGGTTCTGAGCGGTCGGGGAGGTGGCCCGGTCCATTTAGTGCAGCTGATGCAGTTCTCAGGTACTTTGAATATTTCCATCTCTTCCCTCCACAGCTGTCTGATCTGATGAAAGATTTTCATAAACTATGAACATGTACGAAGATATCAGAGATTTAAGTTGGCATATCAAACACCAGAGAAACCCTGATGGTTCTGAGCGGGTCCATAACACACATCAGAACCCTTCACTGTGCCGTGTTCGCTCACAGACAGGAGAACGAAGTGATGTAGTTGAGCTTCTACAGCTGTGGTCACCAGAGCTGATGAAGCCTCTTGGATGAGGTCCAGTAGCTACCATCACCATCAGGTTCTGCTGAGGTTCTGCTGCGGTCACGTCTCTGTCAGCGGTAAAACGCGGACTGCAGGTTTGACCCTCTCGGCTCTCCGTAGTGTGTCGCTGCAGCATCCGTTAGCTCCGTTACCGAGCAGACCGACGGCAAATCAGCGGCAGTGAACCGTTATCAGGCCCACGATACCGGGGCGACAGCGAACAGGACCAGGATGAGGTTCGGTTCTGTGGTTCTACACGTTGAGGGCTGATAACGGAGCCCCGGTTCCGCAGTTCGGCCTGGTTCTCTGTGTGCTGCGGTTTCAGCGGTTCTGTTGGGTTCTAACAGAATGTGGAGCAGGACGGACCTAGAAGATGGATACGAGTCCAACAAGACAGGTAACAGCTAACATCAGCCGAACACCGGGCTAACATCAGCCGAACAGAGGGCTAACATCAGCCGAACACAGGGTTAACATCAGCCGAACACAGGGCTAACATCAGCCGAACACCGGGCTAACATCAGTCGAACACAGGGCTAACATCAGCCGAACACCGGGCTAACATCAGCCGAACACCGGGCTAACATCAGCCGAACACAGGGCTAACATCAGCCGAACTTGGAGAAGACTTGTTTTCCAGGGACGCATATATTCTGTAAATGTAGCTTCTTTCATGTTTTGTGGTTTCTTTCCTTCTCTGTGTGGACAAAGTACGACACATAAATGTTCTATATGCTTGTTTTCTTTTTGGTTTTCTGACTCTATGACTCAGGTTCTCTGCAATACAAATGAATCCAAAGCTTTTTTGAAGAATGTCATTTTAAAAAGCTCCTGTGCTGCAGAATGATGGTACCAGATCGTGAAACCAGAGTGAAACTGGAACTTCAGACATCAGGTCTGTTTCGGTTCCACTGTCAGAATATAGGCTCTGTTCTTGCTCTCGGGGTATCAGCACATGTGATGTGAATGGATGAACCTGATAACTCATGTATTCAGTGAGTAACTAGTGACTCTCTTCCAGCCTCCAGTGGTGGTTCTCCAGGATGGACTCCAGACTCAGCCTGGAGCAGCAGTGGAGGCCGAAGACTCAGCGCCGTGTCTGACAGCGGTGACACCGGCATCGGGACCTACTGCTCCGACAGCGTGGAAGGTAGGACTCTGTTTCATCATAGTTCAACATGAACAGACCAGGGGCCTCATTTATCATCAGTGTGTACCAACATTCCT